AATGTTGGGGGGGGGGGGTGTATACATGGGCACCTTGCTCGCACCCTCATGGGCAGAAGGGCTGGGCAATTCGATGGTGGGTGCCGCAGGCTGGATGAAAATGCCTGATGCCCTGGATTTGGCCACCGGGCCATATTTTGCCCACCCCGATGTCCTCAGTCTGTGATGCACAAAAAGACCCATTTTTTATGCTTAAGATGGCAAAGTCCTTCCACCCCTTGGGTCTACAGGCCTCTAAGGTATTCATGAGTCCTCATTACAGAATTAATGTAGTAATACTTTCACTTTAGCCTGCAGCAAGGCTTCCCAGCTGCTGTGGGAAACTGGAAGTTGTGGCAAATTAAATTTAAAATTTGCATATTTTACCAAAATAAATAAGCAAATAGAATAATATCAATCCAACAGCAGGGATACCTTTACTTAAAGTCTCTTATCCTGTCCCAAAATTCTGGCTTTCAGCATGCTGTATCATTTTTTACCTAAAACAAATGATAAAGTTTGGCAGAACAAAAAGCTGGGGATTTTGAGTATTGGCCAATAAACATCTGGATCATCCGACATCCAGGAAGGCATTTGATGCAGTTTCAGCAATCAAGAGACAAATGAGAGATTGCATGTCTTCTCCCCAGCATTTCAGACAGAAGTTTATATGTGAAGCAAGGACTTCATTCCAAACCCTTGCTACTCCACTACAGTCCATCATAATACCTAGTGAATATCAACTGTAATAAAGTTGTGTAAGAGTGATGGTCAAGAAATTATGCAAGAGTGCCGATTCACTGAGTCTTACATTTGAAAGCTTGTCTAACTTTATCCCAACTACAAACATAGTTGGTCTGATAAAAGATATCACCCTAATAAATCGTGCCTCAGCCATAGCAAAGCAGGGCTGAGGGAGGCATTGGGGGTGAGTAAGTGACACCAGCAGGGCTAGTGGGGGGTGGTGCTGCAGGGGGCTTTTAATTTTGATAATGGATTTTGGGGATTTTATCAGAGAATTTGAGATTTTTTTTTTAAATCAGAGAAAACCAGGATCCCTGCTGATAAGTCACTCATATTCAGGGTAATAAAACAATTAAGAGTTTAGTTGCTGACTGTGAAGCCTAGCAATGGCTCAATGCTTATTTACAAACCATCTGAAGAGCCAAACCCAATTAATCATGACATCTAATTTTTGTGCCCTTGTTGTATTGTATCTTTTCCTTCCTATTCATTGTCATCAACTGTCAAGTCTACAATTACACGCTCTTTGGAGAAATGGAAGTGCACGTTTTAAAAAAAGACAGCACTCTATAACATTTATTTGATGTTTACAAACTCAGGCTGTACAAAAGCAAACTGTATTGCTGATGCTTATTTGTACTGCAAGGGTACTTTTTGCAAATGTAGATACTTTCATCCAGTTTTAAATATGAGGCGTAAGTGAGCCCCTCTGATATTTCTCACAGTGAAAGGATAATAAAAAGTTAAAAACTGAGAGATATGCTAGTGTAAAACAAAAACAAAAAAAATGCTGGTGCTAAATAAAACATTCCCTATTAGAAATATCATGCAGTTGCAAACTGTCTTTGCACCTTGACTTGTAAATTGAAATAAGTTTATTTTCATATATGGTACTAAGCGATTGACAGTATTAGTGGCTTGACATTCCTGTACTTAGTGTGTGCTACCACATTTCCTTTGCATAAATTTAAACTTAAGCCAAGAAAGTGCCTCAATCAGCATAATCTCTTGATGTGGAACACTTACAAAAGGTTGGTTTCTGTGCAAATTAGGAAAGCAAGCAAGCACATTGTGAGGTGAACTGGGATTTTCCAAACTAACTCTACAATTTGAGAGGAGTAGTAAGTGGAGCTCACAGAGCTATTTTATAGCATATGTGATACTTCTAACCTGCTTATTCTCACTTGATCATTTGCATATTAAAAGACTGCAAAATTTGGATTCTTACATTTGGAAAAAAGGAGTATTAGAAAGGGTTTAACTAGGACCTTCAAAATATATGCATCACAATGATAAACTTACTTTTCATTAGATCCCTTGATTCTTGCAGATAGGATAATGCATAAAACAAAGTAAACACAGAATCCATTTTCTACAAATGGATGAACTCCCAAATTACTGATTCATAAAAAAGTAAAGTAAAATAGTGAAGAAGGAACTGGAAAAACAGCCTGAGATAATATCAACCCTGAAGTCTGATCTGATTCCCAGATGGTTTTAGATAAGCTAATCACAGCAGCATCCAACACCTTTACCATTTGTGTCTTGCCAGATACTTTTTCTTTTGGATAATAATCCTGCTACTATATGTTACCAGCAGTTTGCAATGCCATCTACATGGAGTAA